CCGGCGAAGAAGGACGCTGTTGGTAGCGGTGATGGGAAGATCATCGACGAGTTCACCGGCAAAGGTGCAATTGGGCAAGTATGCCAGGTCATTGGTGCCGTCGTCGATGTTAGATTCGAGGAGGGTCTGCCACCGATCTTGACTGCACTTGAGGTTATGGATCACTCGATCCGATTGGTACTGGAGGTGGCGCAACACTTGGGTGAGAACATGGTTAGAACTATTGCTATGGATGGAACTGAGGGGGTTGTTAGAGGACAGCGAGTGCTCAACACTGGCTCCCCTATCACCGTAAGCCTTGATTCGCATTCCATTTATGAATTGCTTTTTCTGAGTTACCTTTCTATCTAGTATTATTGTTTGATTCCGCCTTATTTTGGAAACATTGAATTACATTCAATTTCTTGATTGTATTTCGTACTTATTTAAATCTAGTGCTCTTCTTTGATTTGGTTTTGGAAGTCGCGGCTTTGGAAGATTGTAACTTGTTTAGTTACTATGTGGATTGAAAGTTTGATTTTTAGTCATTGGCCTGGTAAAGCTGTAGGTTCTTGACCCATCAGCCGGATCTGTGTAATGACTCTTTTCAAGATATTTCCAATGCCTTTTAAATTTGTTTTGGTTATTTGTAAATTTTAATGTGATCCGGAAGCGAGTTTACCACTTTGTATGTTAGGATTTTTTTTCTATTTAAGCTTAAAAGTACAACGGTTCCTCTTCTAATCATGTCTGCACCTAAAATGTTAAATGAGTAATATTGGTCTGTTGCATTGTGTATGTATTACTAATTTGTGAGATAATTTTTATGCCTCGAAACTAGTTTTCCTTTGTGAATATGGTTCATTTCATTGTGTGTTAGTTATAATAAATTTTCCCAATCACGTATTTAAAATGATGCTTTTGTACCAAATTTTAATTATTCTTCTTTTTGGCTTGTACTTTTTTGCTGGTAAGTTTGTTCAGGTCTTCAGGTGGTCAATTCTGTTCTTAGTCCACTATTTTTTCACCTACGTGTTTCGGTGATCAAAAGCTCTTGTTTTGAATTTTCTGATATGCTGTGTGCATCCCATTTAGGTTCCTGTTGGTAGAGCAACCCTTGGCCGTATCATTAATGTCATTGGGGAGGCTATTGACGAGAAGGGTGAACTTAGTAAGAAACTAATCTTGCCCTTTATAGCTGATCAGTACGTAGGAGGTTGTTCTTTCACTTCATAAAGATGCTTTTACTGACTGTATTTTGTGTCAATTGTATAGAAACTGAGCACTACTTGCCCATCCATCGAGAAGCTCCTGCCTTTGTTGAACAGGCAACTGAGCAGCAGATTCTTGTTACTGGGATTAAGGTACCCCCTTTTTTTTTTTTTTGGTTCTTCCTCTTTCTTTTTCCCCACATTTTTTTTTTCTGTGTGACCAAAATTTTTTTTGTGCCATTGGCAGTGGTTTGTTAATGTGGTATAATGACTGTGTATTGATTGGCCTACTACGGTTGACTTGCAGGTTGTGGATCTACTTGCTCCCTACCAAAGGGGAGGAAAGATTGGGTTGTTTGGTGGTGCTGGTGTAGGAAAAACGGTCCTTATTATGGAACTTATTAATAATGTTGCAAAGGCTCATGGTATATCTGTAGGATGTTTGATTCATAATTCTTGACCTTTCTGCATAGTACTGAGTTCTTGCTGTATCCTTTGATTAGGTGGTTTCTCTGTGTTTGCTGGTGTTGGAGAAAGGACCCGAGAGGGTAATGATTTGTACAGAGAAATGATTGAGAGTGGTGTCATTAAGCTTGGAGAGAAGCAGGTGTACATAATGCACTTAAATAAGAATAAAATATTTGCAATATTCAGTATTCTTCCAATTATACTTATTGTCATCTATGCTTGCTTCATGTTATCAGAGTGAAAGCAAGTGTGCTCTTGTGTATGGTCAAATGAATGAGCCTCCTGGTGCTCGTGCCCGTGTTGGTCTTACTGGGCTTACAGTGGCTGAACACTTCCGTGATGCTGAAGGGCAAGATGTGCTTCTTTTCATCGACAACATTTTCCGTTTTACTCAAGTATGTTTCATTTGGAATTCGAGTAAATTATCTAGCTGGCATTTCTTCCATCCAATGATGTAAATTATCTAGCTGGCATTTCTTCCATCCAATGCATAGTTTCTGATTATATTCTTTAATCTACATTGTAATTCATTGTGCAGGCCAACTCAGAGGTGTCTGCTTTGCTTGGTCGCATTCCATCTGCTGTCGGTTACCAACCAACATTGGCTACTGATCTTGGAGGTCTTCAGGAACGTATTACAACAACCAAGAAAGGTTCAATTACCTCTGTCCAAGCTATATATGTTCCTGCTGATGATTTGACTGATCCAGCTCCTGCCACCACCTTTGCTCACCTGGATGCCACAACTGTGTTGTCACGACAGGTTTAATTTTGTTTTACTGAGGTTGTTGCTTTGATGTATATGTGGTCAACTTTTGACTAGTCACTTGTCATCATTGATATCAAACAGATCTCCGAGCTGGGTATCTATCCTGCTGTTGACCCCCTAGATTCTACATCTCGTATGCTTTCCCCACTTATTTTGGGTGAGGACCACTATAACACTGCTCGTGGTGTACAAAAGGTCCTTCAGAACTACAAGAATCTTCAAGATATCATTGCCATTTTGGGAATGGATGAGCTCAGTGAAGATGATAAGTTGACTGTTGCCCGGGCACGTAAAATTCAAAGGTTTTTGAGCCAGCCTTTCCACGTTGCAGAAGTCTTCACTGGTGCCCCGGGCAAATATGTAGATTTGAAGGAGAGCATTAACAGCTTCCAGGTACATCATTTCTCAGTTTATTCCATATTGTGTTAATTTTTTATCTTGTTCTGTCTTTACCTGGATATACTTGTTCACATTTTGTATACCTGCTATATGATGATATCATGGAAATTTGCTACTTGCAATTGCAGTAAAATATTTTTGCACCTCTTATTTATCTGCATTTTCTTTCAGCTTGTGGCCCAAAAGAATTGGGTTGTGACTCAAATTATGCTTACGGTAACTGAATTTTCAAATTGAACAATAAAAGACTTGATTTTTATGTTAAAAATAGTAAGCTGATTAATCATCTGCTGCTTATGCTTTTTTAGCCTTCTGGACATGTCTTCCTCTATGGTTGTGGCTTGAGTAGGATTTCTTCTGGGATCATCGCACTTGTATATATACCAAGCTTGTTATTTTGGATGTATGCATGGGCCTTTACTTTCTTACCAGTATGACATTTGTCGTGTAATAATTCTTTTCTTGCGCTGTAAATGACAGGGTGTGTTGGATGGCAAATACGATGACCTTCCAGAACAATCATTTTATATGGTTGGAGGTATTGATGAGGTCGTTGCCAAGGCTGACAAGATTGCTAAGGAATCGACCTCTTAGTCACACAATTCATCTTCTATCTTAATTCTTCCTATAATTGAGTAAATTAATAATCATTCAATGACTCTTGATATACCAGATGTCAGAATCTCAATTTTTTTGTGAGTGTCATTTGCTCGAGTCATCCCATCCTTTTGAATCTTGTTGCGTTATTGATTGCATAGAGTGCAAATATAACGGAGCCTCTGTCCTTTTCTCCCCAATGTTATCTAGTGGTGGTAAAATTCGAGCTGTCATATCATTTTTTCTACTCGACCTGCTTGAGATTGAAAAAGAATACGATGCTTGACTTGATCTCCAACTTGAGTCTCAAAATATTACTCTAACCATGCACGAATATGAAAACAATAATCTGAATCTTGAACGAACTTGAGCTCCTCCTCTGTTGCGTTTCTGTAGCCTCCAATCATATTTGAGCCTTTTGGTTGTGTCAATTTGCTACTGAAATCCTGCGTGAGAGGATATTGAAGAACTATTATTGATCACCCAAATCTATTTGCGGAAATTATCGTGTAAAAGGCTTCCTCAATTGCCAGACAAAGATGCGAATGACAAATGAATAACAAATAAATGGTATTTCAACGTCATATTTATGAAATGCAATCACATTTTTAATTGACCATCCTTAAAGATTTCCAATTCCTTGTGAGTATTAAGTGTACGTGACTTGGGCTTCTGTGATGGTGGCTAACCGTAGAATTGGCAATGATATTGGTGGATAGGAGGAGTCACATGTTATGTCTCACATTGAAAAGATTCAAAGAGATTCTTGATTATATTGAGAGGTGTGCCAAGTAGGCTAACTTTTTGGGAAAACAGTAACAACTCTATAACAATGACATCAGAGCTAAATTTAAATTTACCTAATCAATAGGTTTTTTTAGTGGGCCACTTGCGAAGAGGACATAATGAATTGTTTAAGGGAGTGGCTATATCCCACATTGAAGAAACTTGAAGAGGATTTTAATTGTAAAAATGAATGCGTTGCACACTCTAATAGTCTAGTTTTTTGGGTAGAGAGTAATGGTCTCGTCACATAACTCTTATTTGCTGCTTTTACTTGCTACTTTTGTGTTTTCACCAAACAACTTTCTTAACAAAATCGCTGCTCTTCATCTACAAAGGCCTTGGCTCCAAGCGATGTGTTTGCTGGTGATGTTTATGGCGTCCTCTTTTGCTGAGTACCATCACCAGACGTGTTAAGTTCACTTGTTTAGAGCTGATTGCAACACATCTTTCAAAACCGCACTTAAGATAAAGATATTATAAGCTACTATGTTCAACGAGATGCAAGCAATATCATGCTGAGAATAATTTCCAACTACTTCATGCCGTTTCTGTTTTGAGATCAATAAGAAAGGTTCTTGGGGAAGAAAACCAACTACACAATGATGAATCTTAATGTTAAAGAGCCATAATTGTAAAGATAAACTATTCTTCAATCTTCCATTTCCACTTCATGAAATACTTCTACCCTGAAAGGCAGCACGTAAAGTGTTACCTTTTACACACTGACAAAATCCAAGAAAAAGGAAAAGCTGACTGCAGGAAACTACATAAAACACTCCAGGCTCGAAGCATTGAAACTAAAACAAGTGCATACTCAAACTTCATTATCAAGAAAGTCTTATATGGCTCAAATCCTTACACTTGATTATCCTACGCTAATTAAATGGCAAACTAATGTCACTGGAGCACAACAAATAATGTAATGCCTACAACGGCAACGCACCACTCCCTCTTAAACTTATTATGCAAATGAGCATCTTTGGAGTGTAAATTTAGCCTCTTCTTCTTACCTTGTGCTCCAGAGGCAGAACCTATGGCAGTAATCTACCAAAATCAGCCCTCATAACCTTCGCAGGAATCACTGCTTGATCAAATGTATGAAGCTGTAATATGAGAACAACAAAACGCACAGGCAAAAAAACTTCTTCAGAAATCAGAATAAAAAAACAGTATTCAGAAATCAGAACACAACCTCCAGGCTCCCACCAAATTGTCAGTGTCACACTGACATAAATAAATGTAACTTTCAAATCAGCGTATGAAAATGTACTACAAAGATAAAAGCTTACAGAAGAGTTAATTGAAAATTACTTGAAATATTTTCAATGTGCAGAGAATGAAAAGATTTTCAGGTTAGAAAGTCCGGCCTAGCGATGAAACAAGCTTAACACAAAGAATGATGACATCCTGAAGAAAATACTAAATTTGGAATCAACAAAGGACTCTAGATCAAATAAAGAATCAAATATAAGAGGGATGATGGACATACTAGAGTGGAAAAGCAGAACAGAAGCTGCAGAAAAATATCAGCAAAAGGACTGAATGAATCAACTTCAGGATTGAAGTTTGGACTTGACTTTTGGGGCTCCATGCCTTTCAGAAGGATCTCATAACCGGAATTGCTCAAACCAATGTTTTGGAGCAGCTGGGTGCATTTTGTAAACACGAGCTAGAAAAGCCTTTTCACTAGTTGCAACTATGCTTGCAATGGAATAGTCTTTGGTACATAAACCTTTTTCTGTAAGCCACATATGAAATCTGTACCTAGGCTTAATGCGGTTCTCCAAACCAAAAAGCAAATAACCTGGATATCTATGTAGATACTCTAAAGAGTATCCCATTCCTTGACAGAGGAAAGTTACCTTCTGCTCTATAGATCGAGCATTTTGGTTTAGAATCTTAGGGGTCATTCTTACCATCTTACAAAGCTTGGAGTGTTCAATCCCTAAACACAGAAAGCAATCAAATCTTTCTTGTAATTCAATACTAGTGCCATGCAAGTGTGCTAAGAGATCAAAGATTAAAGCATTTTCCCCGAAGCCCCAGCTATGAAGCAAATTTAGTTTCTTCATGGTATGATTTGGGGTATTTGAAGCGTTAATCATTTCCAAGCCACTTCGGTATTCTTCAGCTCGGTCTTCATCAGGATAGCTTACTATATATTTCACTAGCAACTGATGATTTCCATCCTTGATTTTATCAATGAACCACTGGTGTAAGTCCAAAGCCCTCATTACCAGAGGCAGATTAGCCATTTTGTTGGTCCCCAATACATGATCAAAATTTTGAGTGACATCCTTCAGGTTTTCAGTCTCCAAGCCAATGTATTCCAATAACTTTGTTATGTTAATCACAGGCTTCTGTAAATTAAGACTCAACAATTCTGGGGCCTGAAGAAGTAACACAGCTACTTCTTCCTTGTTTACACCAAATCTACAAAAATACTCAACCTTTTGAATCAATTCTTCTCCATGTTCAAGAAAGATGTTTTTATTTCTCTCTACAAGCTCCGGTAGCCTTCTCTTATCACCACATAAATCATAAAATACCCGAATTTTCCTACATACCTCGTACCAGGAATTCACATTTTCCTCAACAGATGTTGCCAGCTCAAAATCCAAAAATACCGACTTCAAAAAATTTAACAATGCTTCACTTTCAGAACCTACTTCACATTCCCCGCACAAAACGTAAGGAAAAGCTAGACATATACCAACTACATGAACGTTACAAAAACCATATTTCTTGAACTCCAATAGCTTAGACTTGAGCTCTCCCGCATTACTCCTAAATATGGAACTACTCTCCACATACAACTTACCCAAATCATTCCACGGAAACCCAAATTCCGAAAGCGCACCAGCGGCATCGAGAAGAGTCCGATCTTCGGAAAAGAAAAACTTGTTCGAACGCAACAACCCAGAAACGTCATTATAGTCTATGCCAATGCTTTCAAAGAAAAATTCAAACTCGTTGATGGGGTGGTACCTAAGAAATTTCTTGAATTTTTTAGAGAAAGTGACAGCTGAAAAATCTACCTTTGTTATTAGACTGGCGAGCGAAAGAGGAGAGCTTTTGCTAATATGCTCAGCATAAGTATAAGGCAAGCAGCTTGTACCATGGAGGTATTCAGTGAGAGCCTTCTGGGCTTCCCGGATAGCCAAGTTCTTGTACCTAGAGCTTGGAATGTTCGGAAGCTTCGCACTGGTAGATAGATGACGAACAACGAATACGGAAAACAAATTTGAGAACATGATCGCAAAAGTGGATTCCGAGTCTCAAATTCCTACATGGTTGTAAAAAGAATCCGGTTTTTCTCCTCTTCGAAGAACACAGACGGTCAAAAATCGTCTCCGATGAAGCGACTGATCCATGGCTTTGCAGCTCTAAACGCATAACATTCCTGTTTCTCGGAAACGAATTGTCTGCAGTGGAATAAAACGTGCTGCTGTGAATTTCACCCGTTGGCATGATCTTACATTCAATGTTGTGCCACGTCAAGAATCCCAATTGCCTTCACAAGAAATCGTGGCCGTCAATCCTGTGAACCCCAATGCTGTCTATTTAGATCAGTAACAAATCGTGGCCGTCCATTATGATCAATCTCAGACGTCCATTCTATGAAGCCGCATTATTTCAGCATTTGCGTCCGTGCCGGAGAAAGCCTCGGACGCCGGAGAAAGCCTTGAGTATGTTACCTTTTGTCTTCTAATTTCGCCATTTCTCAGATTGTTTGATGATTCTTTTCTTGAAGAAGAGTATAACTAACCAAAAAAAAAAAAAAAAAGGAGGAAGAAGAAAGGAAATTGTTCAGGTTTGTCAAACCAATGTGAAAATCGAATGGTGTAATTGGGCATGTTCTTCGACTATGGATGATATGTTTTGAATCAAGGATTGTGTTATGAGTTGTGACTTCCTTTTTCTCCTTAGTATTCTCTGCCTCGTTGCTTTGCTTAATCAGTTCCTTCCTTTCTTCTCAGCTTTATTGCTGTGCTCGGGTTCCGATCTCCATGCCATCACGCGCGTGAACAATTCCGTTTCTGGTTGCTCCGCTGATCGCCGCGCCTGCGCCGCTGATTTGAATACTGCTCTTGTCGCTTTGATTCTGCTCTTCCCTTCTTCTGATTGAGGCTGGTAAGGGATGTCACTCCCTATTTTTAGATCCCCCCCTTCTGGTCTCGTTGATTCCTATTCTTCATTATTATTGTTCTTCTATCCGTTTGGGGTGAAATCAATTTTCGTGTTTTGAACCTTTGTTGTTTACTGGTTCTTCAGTAATGAAATCCTTTGTAAAGGTTCACACATCAGCTATTGTTATTGCTGGACCTGGATGGAATCCATGCAATTCCTTTTTGGGAGCTTGATCTCAGTGCTATTGTTAATGTTGGAATTCGGTTCACAGATTATTGTAAGGAACAGGAATGAGATTCAATTAACCATATTGCGCTTAGCATAGAGCAGATTTCCCCGTTTTTGAATCATGACCTAAGCTATTCTGATGGTTCGGATTGGGTTCATAGCTTTTTACTGGACTAAGATTCAGCCTACCATTTTACTGTGGTTACTATGGAGTACATTGTCATATTTCAATTCATGCCTCCACCTGCCTTCTTCAAAGCACTTCCGTTTCTATAGCTAAATACCAGACGGTGGAAGGGAACTGAATAAATCTGGATTTCCTTTACCACACTTTAGATGCGTGGGTGATGACTCTAACGAAAATTAACAACCACTGTATGAATTATTGCTAAATTGTATTAGTCAACTATTGATGAAACAATGTGTTGGACATATTTGTAGACTAATGAAAGATGTTATGTTGCTAAATTTTATGGTAATTAAGTGATAAACAGAGTACTTACTGGCGTCCCATAAGATCTGAAGGGAATGATTTTTTGTATTCCCGTGAATTATGACTGGTGGGAAAATGTGTCTCTGTTCTCAATTTCTTTGTTGTTGGTGAGATTTGTCTATTTGTTTTGAGTTTCTGAAAGAAACTGTGCTAACCCTTGTCTAGAGGACAGATGGGAATATATTTGTGATTTTGTTCGTATTTCTAGATTAGAGTGATAGCAATTTTAAAACTTAAACTAGTGATATGAAATGCACTGGGAGTAATTGTTCGTTTTACTTGATTTATGGTCTTTCTTGATGGGTTTCTCTGATGAACATTCAACGGAATTTGAAAGCTTTATGGTCTTATTTCTTTGTATGTGTTTTTATAGACATAATTATTCTATTATTTTTTTTTCTTTTCAATTTCATCTTCAAATTTGTAACTAACCGAATCAAGCAATTTCTTTGATGTTGAAGTTCTATGTGGAAAATACATGCTTTTTTGGTCATATTAGAGGGGTGTCAGCCTAAATCTCTACTCTTACTCCATCTCACCTTGACTAGTCTTAGGTAGCTGGGAAATGCGTATCTTGTAAACTTGATTGTAAGATGGAATAACATTATGCTGCTGATATTGAGATCAAGCATGATTTGTGTTTGTGTGTGTTAGCTACCTCTATCAATTTAGCGTTTATGCCTTCACTCATTTTGATAACTTGTTACATTTTCAATGAACTCTTTATGTTCAGATTCTTAATGCAACGTATTGTTATGAAACGCTTATGTTCTAAACTGTAGGGAACTGAAGATGGTTTCTGAAGAAGTTATGAAAGCTGTTTTTCCTTTGCTGGAGGGCATTGATCTTGCTTCTTGTATGATAGTATGTAAACAGTGGAGAGACTTAGCCCGAGATGATTACTTTTGGAAATGTCTTTGTGCCAAGAGATGGCCCTCAATCAGCAAGCGGCCTAATCCTCCAACTGTAAGCTACTACAAGTTATACCAATCCTTTTATAAACGCCGGCGTCAAAAAACTCTTCTCCGTCCAAGAATTTCCTTTGATGATTTGGAGTTCTTCATTGACATTTGGGCTGAAAATAGATTACTTTTCTCAGAAATGGTGCCTGGCTCTGTGCTGCAGCACGGAGTTAAAGTTCCTCCTTCTGGAGTCTGTGAAACGCTTAAATATCACTTGGAGGCCCCTGAATTCAAGATGACATTGCCTGTTGAACCTAGGTTTACGATATCCTACGGCCAGACTGAAACCGTTAGTGTCTCTGTATTGGTTGGACGGAAGGATTCAAATAAGGTTGCTCGCATCATTAATAAATCTATGTTTGATTACATCGATCAGTCGTCTTACAAGGCCTTGGCATTTGACTACCTTGACATATCTCCTGTGTACCCTTTTTTGTCTGGCATCCGGGCATGGATCTCTCTTCTATTTATGGAAGATGGAAATGAAGGATCTATGGATGTGTTTGGAATTCAGATGGACTTCTGCGATGTGGCAAACACCAAGGAAGAAGTCTTATTGCTCTTAGACATGCTTGATTGGCAGTAAAATGTATGTGAAGACTTGATATTGTATGGGATATCGATTTCCACATTGAGTAGTATATGATGCTCAATGAGGTATTTAAGTGAGTTTGTTTTCTTATTTTAACAGCTAGCTTTTGAGGTAAGGTTTTCCATCCCACTCAAATATCCATCAATTGGTATCATAGCTTGGTTGTGGGCAATTCTGGAGAGAGTTGTTCATGGAGAGTTTTAACTAGCAAGAGGTCGAGTTAAGTGTTATGAAATTTATCCACCTAGATGGCAGCTTTTCATAAGGGCTAATTGATGGAGACTTGGCTACATGGGATAGCAAGTCTCACATTGAGTGGTACAAGATGCTCAATTGAATATTTAAATGAGTTGGTTCTCTCACTTCAACAACTAGCCTTTGCGATGTGGTTTCCTATTTCATTTAAGTACCCATACTTTATGTACAATGATGGATAGAAAAATTAAAATAATTGAAGGTAATATGTTTATGTGAAACTTCATGTTCCTATCAACATAAAGGTTTTACATAAATTGATATCGTATCTTGTAGGATTGCATTGTGTGAATACTTTTTTTTTTTTTGCAAAATATGTGCTTTTACTTGTTCACTATCATTAATATATAAAATCTTTTCTTTATTTTTTTTTTAACTTTCCGACCTTAATGCACTAAGTCAGCCAAGTTAGAATGTACCAACAAAATATATGCTCCATCCTTCTAAGTTTTTTGTTAATTTAGGTTTTTGGTTTTATTGTAAAACTACTACTGTTTGAGTTCCAATGCTTTGTTTATTCCATTACTCACAATTATGTCTCATTTTTTATCTGAAGTTTTGTATTGTGATTTGTGAGAATATTTTAGTTCATGCCTGGTAATATTTTACATTAATTAATGATTTCATAATGTATATGCAAAATTTTAAACAGCTAAAGAATTGAAACAGAGAGAGTAACAACTAATCTATGGGATCCTTTTTTTGCAAGGAGTTTATGCCAATCATATTTAAAATACTAGTTTAAAAGAATAAGTGTTATAAAATAATAGTGTTGTCAATAATTAGGTTATGACTTATTATTTGTTTATGTATGTAAAGTTTGTGATGATGATAGAGTGGATGAATACCTATTTCCTATAATTTTTTAATTATGAGAATTGAATTGTAAGTTGTATTCAGTTAAAGTTTCAGTACTTGATATTTAAAAGAAAATGTATGTATTAAAAGTTTTTTTTTCCCTTACATATATTGTTATAAAATAATAGTTTTTTCAATAATTGGACATTAATGGGTTGTTTGTGATGATAATGTTGATGGTTGATATTTTGTTGGAGAAATTGAAGGATAAGGTACACCTTTTTGTGTTTTCATGTTTCTTTTTTAATAAAAAGATGAAATACAATTGAGGAAAAATTAGAATACAAGGTCCGTTATCCAAAAAAAAAAAAAAAGGTTGAGTTAAAGGTTATATCTCCCCATAAATTATTTTTTGAAAACTATTAGGTATCCAATAAAATGATTTGATGCAAAAAGGTTCACCAAATAAAAAATTGTAGTCCTTACAACCTTTTGTCTATTTTTTTTTAATTACACAGTCACGGCAAAGTCATACAAAGAGATTATATTCTAGTCATATGTAAAAATTATGAGGTTTTGTACAGTCTATTAGAAAAATATCAAAAATCATAACATTAAAAATATTATATATTAATTTGTAGGTTAAGAAATTAACATATTTATTTACTTTTTTATAAATATAGTCGCCTTTTGTCTATTTGAGAGTAACATCCACATTTTCTCGAGGGCCACAATAACTTACCAACTTCCACCTCCTCCTCAAAGGCCCCCTCAATATTCATATTTTGTAATGAAAAATTGTTAAATACATCTAATATATCATATCATTTATAATTTGTTTAATAAAAATATAATATTTAAATAGCATTAAATATAAATTAATTTTAACGTTAATAATAGTAAATAAAAAAATGTAAAAAATTAAATATACATTCTGTTATAAGAGTAAAATTAATTAAAATAATATTGCATAATATTTTATTTAAATTATTTAAAATATTTTAATTAGATAAATTATAAATAATATATCGCACCCGTTATACATTTTTTAACTCCATGTAATAGATAGAATCCGTCGTGCTTACCTCATTCATTCTTAACTCCATTAACTCCATTTTTGCAGGCCAATCACTATGGTTGGCTTGAGTCACCTTGGAATAACTGCACGAGGCCTAATCACCCATTATCACAATCCACTTCCTTACCATTCCAATCCTGCTTCAAATCACATGAAGCATCAACAGCATCCAGCATATTCCCTCCAACCTCCATAGATGCCACTTCCAAAGCATCTTCACTTTGTATTGTTTATTCACCCCAAGTTCCTCCAATCTTCACTTGATGGCTATAAACAGAGAGCTCTGGTATAAGAGCTCAAGAACAGGGGCTTTCTCGGGAAGCACATGTGAATGACTTCAACTGCGTTACTTAAGAGATTGTGGCACCCCCTCTCTGCCTTGCACTTAACATAGAGTCAGACGACAAATACGCAAGAACCTCGCCACCACTAGCCCAATCCAACAGAGAAGGACTATCAAAGACAGAGGAGTACTTGAATCCTTTGAAATATACATGTAAAAGTCATAAAAAAAAAACTAAAAATAACAACTACACAGAAAGTGTTCTTGCTGAGTTTCAGGGGCCATGTAACCAAATAACCTACCATTTTTCAGGTAAAAAAATTTTTGGTTTAATATGGGAGTTTGCCAATGAAGAAGAAAATAAAATGTTAAATAAAATAATAGAGGAAAATGCAAGAAACTAATTGAAATAACAATCCTGCTAGTCTAAAAAATATAAGGTCACATTTGCCTAATATAATATAATAAATGAATTGAAAAAATAAAAATAAAAATAAGATAATAAAAAAAGAATAAATGAGTACATTCATAAGATAGAACGGTAATTTAATTCATAAAATTAAAAATTATGATTTATAAAATTTTTAGAGGGTGTAATAATTTTTACATCTGTAATATATATTAATTAATTTTATCATTTTTAATATAGGGAACGGGTGATTTTGTTTATTTTTGTTTCAATTTTTTTAATTAATTCCATTTCATTTTATTCTAATAAGCAAACATAAGCATACTTTCAACACAAAATCGTTTTACTTTTGGCATCAAACTTGACTCTATGAAAGTTTGAAACAACTGTTAATAAAAGAGACTGCAAGATAGTCTCAAAATTGTGTAGTATTTCAAAGTCCCTTCATTGATGGATACATTTCAGTTTAGTTCACGTACTTTGACCCAAAGCCATCAGTTTTCCCAACTACAGACAATCTAAAGCGTGTCAGTCAAACCAGTAAATGTGCAGTTATAATAGCAACAGTTCATCTCACACACAAAAACAAGGCCAAATTGGTATGGCTTTGAATTCCTCAGTCAATAGTTCCCCAGTCTCAGAACCTTCACGAATAGGAAATTTGATAACCCATGCATGCTTTCCAGAGACAATAATTCGATCCATCTAAAAGAATAGATTGGTTTATAAGGGAAAGCTTTAGTATACTATAAACATCACTACTTGACTCATAATTTATTGGCTTACAGTTCCCATTGAGAGAAAGAGTTGTGCCAATGTTTTTTCTTATAGAAGTTGAAATCTGCGAACTTTTCATTCAAGCACCTTTCGCTTAAGAAGAATAAAAACTTGATGTTGTTTAACCCTATGATAATCAATGATTTCTGGGAATTCCATAATTTTTTTTGCATAACGATCAAAGAGCTCATCAACAATTCCATCTCCAAAATGCTTCTCAATCAGAACTTCCCACACAGCCCTTCCTGTAGAAACAAACGCTTCTATATTTGGTATAACAAAGGATGTCTGATCCAATGTGACCATTTTCTCGAGGCTGAAATCTTCATTACTTTCAAGTATTTTCTTCAGATCCTCCAAGCGTGGGAAATATGTGGGCACATTGAAAGTGTCCACTTTTTCTTCACTTATTAGTCCCTGCAATGACAATAGCCATTACCAAAACTTTATTAAGTGCTTAAGTTGACTTAAATAATCAATAATAATAAATGCAGACGACAATCATCTAATATTATGCTTGAAATATAATTATGCCTTGAAAATGGAAATGCATATCAGGAAAAGTGCATACGAAGGGAGAAAGTACTTAATAAATGAGTCTCACACTATCAACAAATTAGATGCTAATAACATCAAAGAATTCAAATTCCATTATGTACCAATTTGGCCATGTCCAGTAGACAGCTTCCCAAGAGTTCAATGCTTTTCCCAGCATACAAATCTGTACTAAAATCAATTACATCATAAGCAGCATAAGTCATAATTGCCATTAATCCATTGCCCACAAGCTCTTGTGCTCTAGCATGCAGAAATATCTCCAAATCCATCATAAACTGACTCTTATAAGCTTCTTGAACTTCACTTGGAGCATTAGTATAGTAAATTCTTCCCTTGTTGAAAGCACCACAGTTTTTGTCTGTAAGCTCTCTAGGCAACTTAGATAGCCAAGGCAGTGCTGAGGATGAATGAACTACATGTAAGCTCTGCCTTGGAAATAAGCGTCCGTAGAAAGAGCCAGGAACTCCAGCTGCAAAGTAATTTTTATTGGGAGGAAGTTTCTGAAAGAGGGTATTGAAATCATTTGACACTTGGTCATTGAAGAAAACTAGAAACTCTGGGGTAGTTTGATTTTGAGATTGGTACTGGAGTTGTATTGCTTCTAAAATGTTTTGTACTGCAATGAAGGTGTTAGGCCCAATGGAGCAACCTAAGTCTGCTATGCAAATTGGATTTGCAGATGAAACACAAATGCCTTTCGAGTCAAACTTGTCCGCTACTGCACTATGCAAGAGGCTTTTGCCTTCATCAATTAACTGTCTCTGCACAATTGGTTAGTTACATGTGTGAGTATTAGCATATAAGAATCATACCAAATTCTAAATATTTGATTAGAAAAACTTTAAAAAGTATTTCATCCATACAAGTTTATAAGACACTTATGAGAGTAATTCAATATCCTTTGTGAAGATACCATTTACTTTCACTTGGTTTATAAAAATATACTCACTCCAATCCTAATTATGTATAAGACATAGTTTAAAATCCATGCATGAATATTAAGGGAATATTTGGAAATATTAATATTCTAATTCTTCTTAAAGTTGTGAAAAAAAAGTCTTATAAAAAGGCACATAAGAAGTAATAAATCATTTTTTTAGTGTTGGTCAATAATTTGGAATAATAATGTATACAATGAAACTAATTAAGATCAAAAACCTGAAAAGTCGAGTTTTGAGCATAACTGGATGGACCATCTCCTCCCTTCATTGCAAATGATTCAGAAGATTCATTCTCCATCTTTCTTTTTATATCTGCATCATTCTAATTTGGTTATTTAATCAATAAGCTATGCAAGAAATTTATAGAAAACATTAACATTTGAGAAGTAATTATTTTTTCTTCTTTCTCCCACCTCGTATGACATTAACGTTTCATTACAAGGATGTGTCAAAGTTTTATATTTGTTTTCTTCGGTAGAAATCAATATATCGTGCGTATTTTATTTAAATTAGACTATAGTCAACTAATATCACTACCAATATTTATCTATATCACCCTTGACTTCCCTGCTTATCATGTGAATTGATCCTAACTCTAGTAACAAAACTCATTTGAAGCATCTAACACTTCAATTCGTCTTTTTATAAATTGATAGAAACTCCAACTTGGGTTAAATTAAGAGACAAATTAAAGTAAACTAAAGAGTAAATACAGGTCAAAAAATACTGAATCTAAAAACAAAAGAGATAATAATTATACAAAACATACAGCTTAATAGGAAGAAGCACTTGGAAACATTCAATTATAATAATCTAATTAAAAATCAAAACTTGACAAACCAAACATTAATTTGAAAATTGATATGTATGTATGTAAATATGGATGCATGTATTCCATGAACACTTTGCTTACCTTTTGGAATATAAACTAATATGGGCAAAAATTAAAAGGAAAAGAAAATATCTCAATACTTAAATGAACATGTGGCTCCATTTATGTTAGAGATATTCATTGGCATGAATTAAACAATCATCTTTGGGGTTTGCACCCCCTCACTTTGAAAAAAATTATAAGTGTAGCATGTAAAATTTACAACTTTGCACTCCTATTTTAATATTTTGCCCCCTTTAAACTAAATAAAAAATATTTAGGTTTAAAAACTTATTAGATATATAATATTTTAATGATTTAAATAAGATATGAAAAGTATATTTATGATAAAAGGCCATATCCACTAATTCAATATAATTTTTAAAATGAAAAATGATGATAAATTTATTTATATTATTATAATTTTAATACTAGCATAATTATTACTATTTTAAAAAAATATTAATTTTTTATTAAATTACTCCGCACCCCCTCACTCAGGGTCCTGACTCCGCCACTGTCTTTAAGGATCCATCAAATTATGAACATAAAAAGAAAAACAGAGAGTGCATATATGAAGTAAACTACCCATTCTTACTAGACAACCCAAATGAAAAAACCGACTTTAAATTAAATGATGACACAGAATGAAAAAATAGAATTATGTTGTGATTTCTACGTTTCTATTTTTCTCTTGCTTCACCTTTCTTTCTTCTCTCTCTCAATCTTCCCTCTCAATTTTTCTTTATGCTTCCATATTTCTATTCTAGCCCTTTTATGCACAAAAGAAAGAGAATCATCATTAATGGAACCAATCAAATCCTGATTTGGATATCAAATCTAAATATTATATATTATTTTCTCTTTTTAATTTATTAATTACTTGACATTTTACCATATAACTTTTTAGATGCATATCTCTCCTTTTTTTTTACCAATTTTTTTTATATGCATATAGCTATTAATTAATGTCACTACTATAAAAAATGTAATTATTGTTGCCTTTTAACATCAATTATTACAAAAACTGATGTTAAAAAAAGGCGGTGGTGTATTCATAAATAAAGGGAGCACATTTAAAATTGTTACACTAATAACCAACATTAAATAATATTAAAAAAATAAAAAACAATGACTTTTAACGTTGTTTTTTTAATGAAGACTGATGTTAAAAAATTTAATAATAAAAAAAATTAAAAAAACACACTTTCATAGAGAACCAGCATGAATAAACCATGTCGGTTTCCCATAAAACTGACGTGGTTTCTCTCGCATTTAAATGCTATGTTTTGCATATTTGACATAGAACACAACAGAACCTCTCTGTTTCGCATTTTAGTTTTGTGTTTCAGTCCAGCACTAAAAGGTCATGCTTTTTCCCTCCGAATCCAACCAACATGGGTCCGTCTGTCAGCTGATGTGGGTCTTCCTTTTCCCTCCATTGTACCCTTTTCCCTCTTTCTTCTTCCTTCTTCTTCCTTCATTTTTACAAGTTAGAGATTTCTCTCTTTTTCTCCAACTTCGCTCTTCCTTCTTCTTTTATTGTTGTTAAATGCTTATCTATTTAAATAATTTTTGATCCTTTATTGCTTTGAAGTTTCAGATTTCTTCTTCAGCCTTCCTTTTTCATTGTTGAAGATTTGAATTTCATTTTCTTCTTCGGGCATGAGATATTCCAAGTAAGTTTCATTTTTTTTTTTCAAATTATTTCCTTTGATTTCTGAAATATTTATCTTAGATGGATAGATTTGTATTATATTGAAATTTTATGAATTTATAATTATAATTGTTGATATTTCAAATTTGATATTGTTGCTGAAATTCATAATTTTTTTTTGCTGTTGAAAATTTGATATTGCTGAATCTATATTAGAATTTAAAAATAGCTTGAGATTTGAATTGATTTAAGTTAACTTTGATTATTAAAATTTTAGAATGTCATATTTTAATGGGAAATGCTGCCAATTTTTTTTCTAACTTTATAATTTGATAAACAAATAAAATTGCAATAATAAAATATATATGCTCTTATATAATCAAAATTTTTGAATTTTTGTGTTTTTTCTTTTAAATTGTTATATATATATATGTTTAGAAAATGCTTAGGATTATATTTTTAAAATTGCTATTGTTTGGGAGTTTGATTTGAAATTGTTTAGAATTATATTATTTGAATTTAATTGTTATTAAAATTTGTGGAGGTCTTATTTTAAGGAAAAATTTTACCAATTTTTTTTTAATTTTTGCAAAATTTATATTTTGATAGTTAGACAATGGATCATATTTGGATGAATTATAGGAGAACAAGTACAGAATATGAGAATGGGGTGAAATATTTTCTTGAATTTGCTAAGAGGAATGCTCCTAGTAAAAATGGATTGTATTTTTGTCCATGTGTAAAATGTTTAAATGGGAGTCGACTGGGTATTGATGAAATTAAAGAGCATTTGTTTTGTAATGGGATGCATTTGAGATATAAGAAATGAATATGGCAATGTGAAACTGAATGATTGAGTTCTATTTCCCAAGAGCAAGAAGTAAGTGATGAGGATGTTTGGAATGAAGTGCTTTGTGCAAGTACATGCATATGAGAGCTTGCAGAATGATGTAGAGAAACTTTTGTATCGGGGGTGTAAAAAGTATATACATTTTATAGGTGTATAGTCAATTTGATAGTGAGATGTGGATAGATCGATATGAGTTGATTATATATGAAATGCAAATACATTATGTTGATCATGATGATATCTGGACCAAAACAATCCAGAAATGATATTGATGTCTACTTGACACCCTTGATTGAAGATTTGAAGATGATGTGGGAGGAGGGTGTCGATGTATTTGATGCTTACCAGCAACAATTCTTTAAACTATGTGCCATGATCTTTTGCACAATAAATGACTTTCCTATATATGAAAACTTGTCTAGGTATAATGTCAAGGGCATAAAGCATGTCCTATTTGTGAAGGAGGAACACGCTCTCAACATTTGAAACAAAAAGAAGACAATCTACTTTAGGCATACGAGATTTCTTAATCAGTACTACCCTTATTGCAGATTGAAAAGCGCTTTTGATGGCTCACAAAAGTATGATTTTCTCAAAAAGCATTAACTGGAAAGCAAGTTTATCAAGGGGTGGAGAGGATTAATGTAATCTTTGATAAGAATCGAAAGATTTCAAGTGAGAAGAACTTATAGAAAAAATGTCTATCTTCTTTGATCTGTATATTGGCAATGTCTTGATGTGAGGCATTGCATTAACGTGATGCAAGTGGAGAAAATGTTTATGATAGTCTTGTGGGCACACTCCTACATATTAATGGAAAGACTAAGAATGAGATAAATGCTGGACTGGACTTGGCCGAGATGGGAATAAGAGAATGATTATTTTCTAGACGAGAAGAGGAAAAGAGGACTTATCTACCTCCTGTGGCTTACACACTTTCAAAAATAGAGAAAGCAAGCTTTTATGAGTGTTTACATGGTATTAAAGTGCCATAAGAATATTCTTCTATTGTGAAAAATCTTATGTCGATAAAAGATTTGAAGTTAATAAGCTTAAAGTTTCATGATTACCATATATTGATGCAACAACTATTACCAATAGCTATTTGAGGCATATTAAAAGATGATGTGAGACATACAATTACAAGGTTATGTAGTTTTTTCAATTCTATTTGCAGCAAAATCATTGACCCTAATAAGTTAGATGAATTGAAAAATGAAGGTTATATCATTTTATGCCAACTAGAAATGTACTTTCCTCCGATTTTTTTGATATTATGATGCATTTATTTAATTATTCACTTGGTGAGGGAAATAAGGCTCTACAGTCTTGCCTATCTTAGGTAGATGTATCTATTTGAGCGTTATATGAAAATATTTAAGAGATATTAAAAAAATTCATATTATCTTGAAGCCGCTATTGTTGAAAGATCTGTTAAAGAAGAGGCCATAGAGTTTTGTATCAAATACCTAAATAAGGTAAAGGCTATTGGAGTTCTAAAATCTTGCCATGAGGTGAGCAGTCTCGTAGGTAAGGGAACATGAAGGGTTAAAGTGAAGAGTATGTATTGTGAAGAAATATTGCAATCTCATCTTTATATCTTAAATAACATGGAAGAAGTCCAATGTTACTTAAATACTTACAAGAAAATGTTGAAGGACAAAAACTCAAAAAAAGAATGATATGTAGCTAACTAATGAGCATAACAAGACATTCCGCAAGTGGTTCAAGAAAAAAGTTTGCATCGAGCCCAATGTATTTGATATGATAAAATGGTTAGCTAAAGGGCCTCGTTTTGAGGTTGTATGTTGGGGTGGGTTTGACATAAATAGATATTCGTTTTATACAAAAACCCAAGTGATTTAACCAAATTTAATTTATACTGTCAGTTTTTCTAACTTATTAAAGGTCGAATGGATT